ATATATGAAGTATATAACTTCATGCCAGACATCTAGTAAATAAAAAACATACAAACTAGTATTTTTACTAAGAATTAAAAACTCCTCCACATTAAATTGTAAATTTCTGGAATACATGAAGTTCATCTTATCTGTGTAAACTTGATATGATATATCAATACTTTACTTTATCTGTAAAAGTCTTAAATTTGTGTGTATTTGATCAAAATAAAGTGAATGAGAATTAGTAATTTTGAGCTGAATTATGCTGAAATTATCCAATTTACTCAACACTGCCTCCAATCTCTTCTCAGTTCACTATTTTGTCTGATCCCACAGATTGATTGATTGATTGATTGATTTTTTCCAGTGATCAGTAATCTACTTTATGGCTATTGCCTATAGATGACCCCTCACATATATTTAATTCAGATTTGTCTTCTAAACCCTTATGTCATGTTATTAACAGCTATCCTTTTAATTTTCCATTTAATGGGGAGATAATAATTTAAAACAAATATATTTTTGTTCAGGTACAAGCTGTATATTGAATAGTTTGTGGAATGATTTTTTTGTGATTTCTCTTAAACATAATACAGAAGTACTGTACCTCTTTCCTAATACTCAATAGGAATTTCACTCTTACTTCTAAAGTTCCCACATTTTATCTGTCTCCTCATATCTTAATCTTAGAGAAGAGTATTGGAAATGTTTTTCAAATTTCATTTTCTTTCTTTCAGGTAGATAGACCAAATTTTCTCCCATTTTTATTTTATAAAGGAAATCCAACAATATTTACTACTCTGTCAATAGTGATATACATAATAAAATACTAGAATGGTTGACATACTTTTATCTATGCCTTATGCTTACAGTAGTACATAGTGTTCTATAGCTGATGCTAGGGATGGACATACTGAGAAGAGACTCCACTGTGAAATTAGAAAAATATATCAGTGGAACCCATAACCAATCTAATAATTAAAGTTATTAAGCAGAGGGACTTGCCCAGCAACATGGATCTCTTTAAATAAAAACCCTAACATGATTTCTCACTGACACCAGTGAAATCTCAAAATTCATTTGACTTTTTTTTCTTAATAATGTTTGATGATAAAAACTTGAAATATAAAGCCTCATAATGAAAACCTAGACATAGCCTTAACTACTGTAAAACTAGCAGGCAAAACTATAATGATTTCAGCTTTATAGTATAATCTGATATTGAATTACTCTCATTTCACAGCAGTTAGTATCGCTAATGGATTATAAACGTGTCTGATAAAAGTATTTTGAGTTCATATCTGGAGAATTGAATGAAAAAAATGATTTCTCTTGTGACTTTTTCACAAGAGTTGGCATTGATCTGAGAAGAAACTTCATGGTATGGATCACTTTATTAAGTAAATGCATGGAGGCCAAGACAAATGAGGCCAAAGTTGGATAAGGCAGCTGAAAATTATCTCCTGGTGTGTCACCTTCTATGGCTAAAATACCACTAGAAGAGTGAGGCCCAGGTAGGAAAAGCTTCTCTAAATGTGAGAATTATGTCAAAAGACCACTCAGAAAATATAACTTCTATGCTTCCATAAGCTTAAACTAAGAGTTGTCTAGGACTCTGTCAGTTGGACAATGGTTTGAGAATACTAGTTAAGAAATTATACTCTACCATTTTTTGTTCTGCTAGCTTGGACAAATCCTCTCTCTGAGTTTACTCTATCAATTAGTGTAGTGGTCTACAAAAATATAACCATTTAAATGCTTTGGTAATTCTATAACAGTGCTGGCAAATATTTTAGAGATGAGTGACCACACTGCAACCCAAAACCCACTTATTTACCACAAAATTTCAATATTGCAATTAAAACATTAACATCTTGTCTCTTAAGAGAAAAACACACAAAAAAAGGTTTACCTTGGATGTTCTTGTCCATGATTTGGTGGCCCTATTGTTTTCAATTGGTAGTGGAAGCACATCACAACAAAGTCTGGTAGAGCAAAACCTGCTCATCTAGTCACTAGGAAAAGAGAGAGGTGGGGGAGAGGTAGGGAGAGAGAAGGAGGAGGAGGAGGAAGAGGAGGAGGAGGAAGAGGAGGAGAAAAGATCAGAATTTTAAAACACCCTTCAAGGCAGTCCTCAGTGATGTAAAATCCTTTCCCTAGGTCCCACCACTTAAAGGATTCCCACCACTTAAAGGATTCACCACCACCCAATAGCACTCTTGGGATCAAGACTTCAATACATGGTGCCTTTTGAGGATGCTCAGGACTTGATCAATAGCATATAGGAATTCCATTAAAATTTTGGATTAACACAAGAAAAAAATGGTATCTCAACAATATTGTGTTCAAACCATTACAATCATTTATTTATTTAAAATTATAATCAATTAATTGATTGATTATTTAGAAACAAGCTCCAGTTATGTTTTTCAGGCCAGTCTTAAACTTTATATAAAGCCCAAGCTGACCTTGAACTAATGCTCCTCCTACTCCAGCTTTTTGAGTGCTGAGATTACAGATGTGTGCCACCATATCCCATTTTAAAAATGTCATTCCCCATCTTAATATTTCCTCCAAGATTTTTGAATATCATACATTAAACATATTATTTATCCTCTAAAATATTAAAAAATACAGAGAAACACAGTAATACACATACTATAGGTTTGCCAACACTGTTCTAGAATATCAAATAAAGAAATGTATCATGATCATCTCATTTAAAAAGTTGCACATTTGCAGCTGTTGAGGAATTATTAGGACTTGATTTAATACTGGATACAGTCACTTTATTCCAAAGAAAAATGTTTTCCAGTCCCCCCCTCAATAATCAAAACAACCTTTGCTCTTTTGTAATCTATGTCATTTTAAAATGTATTTAATTTCACACTTAAATTATATAAAATATATTCACTGTAAATTCTAACATTTAAAGGCATTATAGAGATATAAAGAAGCTAAAATTTGCAGTTAAAACCCTAAAAAAATACAAGATTCTTAGATATGAGGCTAACTGTTAATGCTGAGTTTCCTCTGAGCCATAGGAACAGTTTTTAAATACAAAGAAGCTGACAGGAAGAAAAGTTAGTGCAGTAATTATGAAATAAAAAATTCTCAATGGATTTATATCATTTAAGAAACATAAAGAGTTAGGACATTCAGGGGAAGATCGCTATTAATTCAATTATGAGGAATTGAAAATAAAATTACCAAAAATAAGTTGATATGTGGCTTTCACATTATATTTAAAATTCTTTAAGATAATCAGTGGCTTTGATGACCTGCAGAAGAAAATCAACAAGAGAAGGCCACAACTTAAAAATTCAGAAAAAGCATAAACACATAAGAAAGATAAAAAGGTTTAACTTACATGTAATTAGAATTCCTGCATAATATGAGTATGAATGAAATATAAAATAGTGTGAAAAATGAATTTTACCAAACCAGGAAAGGGCATAAAGCATAAGGCAGATACTATAAAGAAATACTACAACATTTTAAAAGCAATCAGGAAGCAGAAAATAATAATCTTCAAAATAACATTTAAAAGTTACTGAATTTTAAAGGAAAAATGGAAACCAAAAGTTTTCTTTATTCCCCAAACAAAAATAAACTCTACAACATTTCAACATAAAAGTTACAAGATACATTCATATGAATAATAGCTGAGATTTTAGTAACAAATCTCTCTCAGATTTTTGAAAAATAATGAAGATACTAAATAACACACTTATGAGATGCAAAACAATCCTTAACAAATTTAAAAATACTGAAATCACATCCTACATTTCTTCTGAACACAAATAAAACTAGAAATCAATAATAAAGGAAATCTTCAAAATTACACAAAAATTAGAAATTCAACAACATAATTTTGAACCCGTTATGTTAAAAAAAATAATTAGATGAAAACATTTTAAATTATTCACACATCTATAAATTTAACTACATATACATGAAACTTTATCTTCACTTCTTTTTATAGTGTAGTAGCATATTACAAAACTATCTGAATTAATCCCTTTCTTTTGTTCTCTTGTTTCCATAACATTGTACCATTTTAGGATTAAATTCTATTGTTTGCAGTTTAATGCAGGCTCACTGGTGGCCCCAGCACCTCTCTATGAGGAATACTAAATCTGAGATGATGTTTCAGAGTTATCTTGGGTTAAAGGAAATATACTGAATCTTTCTGTCCTAGCTCACTTCTCTTGCTGGGTACAGACCCTGGGGTTGTCAGTTATAACCTGCAGATTTAGAAAAGGAAGGGAATGTGAATTTCAGTGAGACAGTATTCTTTAACCAGGGTAGTACTGCCACAAAGTTAAAAACTCAAGGCTGTGTAGAGTACTTCCACTTGTTAGTAAAACATATCTTTCACTTCTGAAAGGAATCTAGGTAGTGCATCATAGCATTCACAACTGTAATGATGGTGAATCATTTAAAGCTCAGAGTGCAGTGGTAACAAACAGCCAGCTGTGCTATCATGTCATACCTTTCTCACTAGTGTATCGGTGATGTTTATAGAAGTTTTTCCTTTGGCTATGCATTATAACAACATTTACAAGATTCCGCAACTAAACTTAAACACTGAAAAATTGCTATTGGGTCAGTCTCCTCAACCAACTCATTTTTCTGCCAGTCTCCTTGTCTTTCCAGAGAAGATATATAGAAAATAATGCTGCACAAAAATGCCCTTGGCTCACTGCATGCCTAAATATATCCCAAACCTCTGTTCTGGTCATGCTACCTAATTATAAACCCTTAACTATTTTGTCAACTGTGATTGAACCATAGTATTGCTAAAAATCTGTATCTCTGACCCAGCATATTTCTGTGATCCCCAGGGATATAAAGTCAGTTATTTATTTTGTATCTCCAGGATGTGCATTTCATAATTAGACATGTCTAACACAGAACTCAAAATCTTTAAGTCTTGAAAATTCTTATTTCTCTATATTCATTTTAAAATAAAAATTAAGTCACTTGACAAGTAACCAAGCTATAGTTGTGCTACAGATAATTTATCATGTAAGCACATTCAGTGACTGACACTATATCAAGAAAGGTAATTAGAATATTTTCCCCCCTGTGGTGATCAATAGCATGTTTTCAGTGTTCTTTTAATTTTATTCACACCAAAAAATCTAAGAATCATAAACAAAATAAACTTATAAAATTTGTTCATGTACTATGATTCTTTTATCTCTATATAGTGTCCCTCACCCCGTCCTCGCCCCAGCATGCATCCAGCAGAAGATGAAAGGTGGACGTCCAGGACAGCCACCGTGCAGGGATCCTTTCATCACTCTGGTGCCTCAACCAACCAGTGAGTACTGATTTCCTGGGTGGATGTCTCTGAAATAACCACACAGCCCCTCACCCACCGCTCTCAGACCTACTGATTGTGCCAGTGCTCAGATCCACTCTGCAAAGGCACAGGTGGTCATAAGGCTCATTTTTCTGAGCTCCAGAAGATAGAACAGAAGTGAACAACTTCAATAAAAGCACATCAGATCTCCATAGTTGGTAAGTTGGAGAAATCACCACATTCATCAGAACTTTGAATATCTTCGGAAAAAGGGCAGAGGGGACATGTAGTAAAACCTTGCAGATTTTTCAACCCTGCAGGAGGTCAGGGAGCTCAATTTGGGCCTTGCAGCTTGAATTCAGCCTGAATCTCATGTGTCCACCATCAGCTAGCTGAGACTAAAGGACTTAGTTCTGCACACGGCTGTGCACACTGTCTATTGTTAGAGCAGAAATATAGTCCAAAGAAGCCCTGCAAATTCTTTTTCTTTTTTCTTTTCCTCATTCCATTCTGCCAGTTCTTTCTTTTTTATTTTCTTTTTCCAATTCAGTATCTTCCTCCCCCATATTATTCTTCAACTCCCTTTCTGTCCCTGTTTCTGCCCTAATTTGGATTTCTTCTTTTATTGTTTTTTTCTTCTTTATTTATTTTCTTTACTTCTCTCATTTTACTTCACTGAAGGGTCAATAGTTTCAAAGGAAAATGAACCCCTGTTACTGTTGTTATATTCTTGTCCTTATTCTTGCACTCTGTCTTTCCCTTTGGTCTTCAACAGTTTCCTAAAGTATGTGTGATCATCCTGTGTCCTCTGGCTTCACTGGAAATCTTCTCCAATTCTTTTGCCTATCTACTCCTCTCATCCTAACTCTGTCTAAGCCCCCATCCTAAGGGTAGATGCTATATTGAAGAGTTTATTCACTGTAAACATATTTTGGGTGGCTCCTAAATTTTGATTTAATTCACATGGTTTAAAGGTGATAATGAATGACTACCACAAATGGTCAATTTGTAAGTTGTGCTTGATACTATTGTGTTGCTGATTGTATCAGATGGGCTAAAGTGTTATGAATGATTTAATGAGTTATCCTTTCTGATATTATGAAAATGAGAACATCTATGAGTCATCAGAGACTCAAAAGCTAAAGTACAACTATAGCAGGACGATTTAAGTAATAACCCAGGGCTTAAACCAAGGAAAACCCAACAACAAAAATAAAAATGAGAAAACACTTAAGCAAGACACAAAGACAGACTTCCAGTTCACCAATGGAAAATTTTAGGGCAAATGAGATTGAAAAGTCCAAGAGTGAATCACCAGGACACCCTGAACTCAGCACAGGAAATAACAAAACAGATGAATCAGGCTCTACAAAAATTCAAAACAGAAATAATTTCCCAAATAACTACAGAAATAATGAGCACAATGAATGACATGATTAGAGACTCTAGAACAGAAATTGATAAAAAAATAGATGAGCTCAGGACCACAACAGAAGCCATGAAGGCCCAGCATAAGAAAGAAATGGAAACTATTAATGCCCAACATAGGAAAGAAATGGAATTAATGAAACACTTTAAAACACATATCCAGGAGATTAAACATTCTATAGAAAGTATTCACAGCAGGATAAATGAATGTGAAGATAGAATTTCAGATATAGAAGATAGGATTGCACTCAGTGACCATGAAAAGAGAGGACTCTT